CAAACCAAGTAACCCAATTTTAAAAAATGGGTAGATATCTAAATAGATAATTCACAACAAGAAAATTCCAATTGGCTGAGAAACAAAGAAATGTTCAACATCCTTAGCCACCAGGGAAAAAGCAAAGGAAAACTAATTTGAGATTCCATCTTACACCTGTCAGAATGGCAAAGATCAAAACAAGTGGCAGCTCATGCTGCTGAGGATGTGGAACAAGTGAAAAAGTCCATTGATGGTGGGAGTGAAAACTTGCACAGATACTATGAAAATCAATATGGTGGTTCCTCATAAAATTGGGAATTGATCTACCTCAGCCTTTAACACTCTTCTACCCAAAGGACACTCCATCCGACCACAAGGACACTTGCTCAACTATGTTCACAGAAGCCTTATTCACAATAACCAGAAACTGGAAACAGCCTAGATGTCCCTTAACCAAAGAATAGATAAAGAAAGTGTGGTACATTTCCACAATGGCTTATTACTCAGCTGTTAAAAAAAAAACAATGACATCTTGAAATTTGTAGGCAAATAGATAGAACTAGAAAAAAATCATCCTGAGTGAGGTAACGTAGACCCAGAAAGCAAACATTGTGTGTACTCACTTATAAGTGGATATTAGCTATAAAGTAAAGGATAATCATGCTATAATCCACAGACCCAGAGAGACTAAGTAACAAGAAGGGTTCAAGGAGGGACCCATGGATTTCCCTGGGAAAGGGAAATAGAATAGATTTTAGGGATGGACTGGGAGTGGGTGGGGATAGGAATGGGTTGGGGGATCAGGCAGGGGTGGGGTGGAGGGAGAGTGCTGGGAGAGAGGACTGGAATTGGGGGAACATTTATGGGATGATATGGAAACTTGGTGGAATCTACAAGATTCTACAAGTGACCCTAACCGAAGCCTCTTAGTAGTAGGGATACAGAGCCCAAACTGGCCACCTTCTATAACCCAGAAAGGATCCCAGAAGTGGTACTGGGACATCAACTCAGCCTCAAAACCTTAGACCTGCAATCCATCCTGCCTGCAAGATATGCTGAGTTAATGGTGGCACAAAACTTGTGGGAATGCCCAACCAATGTCTAATCCAAGTGGAGACCCAAGCCACAAGAGGAAGCCCATGCCTGGTTGCCCTGGATAGCCAGGAACCAGAGGCTGGACGGCCTAGAAACCCAGGATAGAACCAAACACTACTAGCAAAAAAAAAAGTCAATGAAATGATTCCTAATGATATTCTGCTATACTCATGGACAATTGCCTAGCCCAACGGTCATCAGAGGGGCCTCATGCAGCAAATGATGGGAGCAGATGCAGACCCACAGCCAAACACTAGGTGGAACCAGGGGAACCCCACAGAAGAGGGGGAGGGACAACTGGAGTCTGAGGGGTCAAGGACACCAGGAGAACCTGGCACACCGAATAAACTAGACAGGACTCAACGGGGCTCACAGAGACTGAAGCAACAGTCACAGACCTTGCAAGGTTCTGATCCAGGTCTTCTGCATAGACACTATGGCTGTGTAACTTCCTGCTCTTGTGGAACTCCGAACAGTGAGAGTGGGGAGTATCTCTGACTCTTTTGCCTGAACTTGGGACCCTTTCCCTCCCACTGAGGCCCCTTGCCCAGCCTTGATAGGAGGGTTTGTTCCTAGTCTTATTTTAACAGCCCTGGCTATCCTGGAACTCGATTTGTAGACCCGGCTGGTCTCGGACTCACAGAGATCCACCTGCCTCTCCCTCCCGAGTGCTGCAATTAAAGGTGTTCGCTACCACCACCCCAACATGCTCTTTTTTTTTAAGGGGCATGGAGGAGGCATTGATCTGGGGGAGAGGGAAGGTTGGGGGAAGGATTAAGTGTGGAGGAAGAGGAAACTGTGGTCAGAATGTAATGCATGAGAGAATAGTAAAAAAAAAATTAAAAATAAAATAGATTCTAATTCCTCATAACATGGTTTTACTAATATAATAATAATAATAATAATAATAATAATAATAATAATAATAATAATAATACAGCTGTTTCATTTGCTTTGAGGATTGACAGCGTTACATTACAACTAAATTCTATGTATGGTAAGCCTATAACAATTAATCCCTATAGAGGGAACCAAGTCATTATGGAGGAGTTGAGCTAAATTGTCATAAAGCTGAATTAAAATGAGACTTTGAAAGGAAACAGCAGCCATTCTTACAAATTTCCACAAGAGGGCAACAATCTTATATTTGATTTTATCTTTTTTAGGTTCCCATAGTTACAAGATTATGTCGTAACATCAAACATGCATGGATCAAAATATTGCCTACTAATCCTTTGAATTTGTATAAATGTACCCTAGGAGAAAAGCTTATGAATATAATTTTCCCACTTTATGTTCTTCAACTAAATGCAGTGAATCAGAAACATGAATAAACCTCAGTGTGAACTTGGTCATTCATAAAACATGAATGATACATGAAGTAATATAGCTTATACCTAAACCATCATAACTGAGATAGCCTATCTCCTTTAATGTTCAGTAATATCCCTCCAAAATTGCTAGGAGCAACTGTGTTCAGAAGGAAAATCATGATAATAGTATAGTTTATCAGTAACAAAACATACAAAAGATGCTTATACCATCTAAGAAAGCTCAGCCACAGTTGCACACAATTCTGTCAGTACTTGTAGATTCATCATGGATTTTCTATTAGTTTCACTTTGCTTATTTAAAGTGAAAGAATTTTTAAAGGTAGATATGAAATATACTAACTTAAAGCAACTGAGGCAGGATTCTGAAAGGCATTGTTCCCACCTTCCTTAAAGGACTGTGGGAGGGTCCAGCTATTGTTCTTAGATTCTTGTGCCTAGTAGAGCCCATAAAAGGAGCTCATAGCTTCCTCCTGGTTCTCACAACACTGTCCATTTGGGAAACTGGGAAGCAAACTGAAAAGCAGTGAGCACGATACTCACACTGTGACTTAGGCTGAGATTCTAAGCATAAGGAAGAGATGGGAAAATGCCTCTTATTTTTGTATCACTCTTCCCTTCAACATACATTTGCTGTTATAAATGTCATTTAGGTCAAACATAGTATTCCCTAGCCTACATCCGTGCTGTGTTGAAATTAGATACACCACTTTCACTATGAAAAATGATTTCAACATTTCTTTCCTCTGGTAAGAAAATCAAGGCCTGGATAACAAGCAAAGATGTTGTGTCTTTAATAGTATCTCTTTACTCAAGGAACACCTGAAAATAAATATGCATTTATTTATCATAAGAAGCAAGTAGAAGCTTTGCATTAAGCAGGCACAAGGCCTCCCTCCTCTGGTCATTTAGTCCCCTGGCACTTTCTCTGTCTGTCTGTCTGTCTGTCTGTCTGTCTGTCTGTCTAATATACTTCTCCCCAGAGCTTGGCTAGAGCTGTCATCTGGGCCACTAGCCAGACTCTCCAGCCCTTCTCATTCCAACATCATTGTAGATTTAAGATCTAACATCCACTGGAAGATTCTCTCAGCGCATGCCACAGGGCCCACTCCAGCTGCTGAGGTGACACAGCTCTCATCTTTGGGGCTCTCATCTCTACCCATCCTTCAGTGCCAATTCTCAGTTTGTGTTTGGCCGTGGTGTTATTTTTTTCTATTCTCAAATAAAACAAACATACCTAAATATACCTGTCATATTCCACAAGATTTGCTACCCTGAGGTCTAGGGCTCATGCATGCTAAAATTGCCTTAACATTTCTAGTGCCTACTACACAGTAGGCTCACAGTAACAGCTGATTAGATGGAAAAGGCAACAACAAAAAGGATATCTAGCAAAAAAAGAAATGAAAAAGAAAAAATTTAAAAGTAATTAAGGCTTAGCTCACTCTATGCAAACAAACAAGTAAAACAAGCCAAAGGAATGAGTCAGTCTACACAGAATGCTCCGGGATGTTTTCAAGAGGCCACTAATAGAAATGGCCCCGAGAGCATCACCACATGGACAGGATGGACAGAGGTTTTTCCCACATTCACCATCAGCAAGGATTCTGATGCAAAAGTCAAGAGAAAGGAAGCAAGGGAAGACAAAGCCACCCTCAGAGCTCTAGGAGTCTGTGTGTTCCTCCCAAGGCTGCTGTAGTTACGCGCCTTCCTGCTGAGTATGGAGCACCTGAGGTCATCTGCAGCCTTTGTTTTCATGCAAAGAGCACATGAGTTTTCATGTGCCAGAATTTCTATCATTTCAAGAAAATAAAAAGACTCAAATCAAGGAAGAGCGAAGGGCTGAATTTGTTTTGAGGGGCCATTCATCCCCAGGAACAGAAAACAGTCACCCGAGCCTATCTATCTGAATCTAGATGGAACTAGAAAAATTCTCCAAGTATCACTGTACAGCAGCATAATTTCAAAGCCTCTAGCTTCTGAACTCTAACATTTCACCAGTACGTTCTGGAACTCTAAATTTTACTAGTGCATTAAACGTAAAGCAAAGTTATTGAAGTAGCCAATGCATGAATAATTTATGTGGCACTTACTGGAGTCCATGGCAGGTTGACAGGGCAACAAATGAGGCGGGGTTTCCTCGGATCTGGCCCTGGTAGTAACAGTGTTCTCCTCCCTGGAAACAGAAAGAGAAGGCGTGAGCCTGGCCACCCTGCCATATTGCTTCCACAGATGCATTCTCAGGATGCACCTCCGTATACTCTCTACAGTGTTTCATCGCCCAGATTAGCATTCCCCAGTCAATTCCAACAGAATTATTCATAAACCTGCCTACTGAGCAGACGCCAAATCAAAGGACAGGGGTATAAAGGTGGCCTTAACTTTGCTGTTAGGCAGGTGTTACAGCAGCCAAGATGTTTCCATATGTGTGTGGACCATGCACAAGAATAGGTTTAATAATCCCTCCAAGTTTGAGGGATTCAATTCTGAGCAACATTGCATCGGTAATTTAACATTCAGCTGAGCAGAAAGAAACTGGAATCATTTGTGAGTCATTAGATTCCCATGATGCAGGAAAATATCTGTTTTTGTGGTGTTCACATCAAGTTAATAGTGCTCTTTCTCAAACTGGGACTTGCTTTCCTTGTAACAGTCTGTGGGGAGAGTTTAAAGCGGCTGTGTTTCCTCTGCAACTGCTCACATCAACTGAATTTAATTCTTTAAACACAACTGGAAAGAAAATGGTACATAGATGCTCTGGCACCATGGAGGGGATAAGAATGTCTTATTAACACAGAGCCCTTGCTGCAGCAGACCTGCTGTCTCAGAACGTATTTTAACACAGTATATGGGTGATTTATGCGCACATAAAAGTTTGAAAAGCTCTGCTCTAAATCACATTTCCCATTCACTCACTAATTTATTTATTCAGGAGCAGAAAGCCTATCATTAAATTGATATTCTGAGATTTAAAAAAAAATAGTGAAACAGGGAGGACTGATGGGACAGGTAGAGGGAGTGGAAATGTTACCTGCATTAGTCTGCCTTAATGAACCCTATTTAAAATACCCAGTGTTGACAATAAACAGGGAAGAATAAGCCGACACAGGAGGTAGCAGGGCTGAAGGCCCAACACCACTGCTCCAGAGACAATCCCGTAGTAGCTGGGAACCCTCTTCTTTGGAGAGTTCCAGTAAAATGACAGAGTGCAGTCCCTGACCCTACTGTTGGCCAGGGCAATGGCATTTTGTGAACTCCTCCATTTTGGCTGAACTGTAACAGTTCCAGTAACGACCATAATTTGGCTTCTAAAAGTAATTTAACTTGTCCCCCTAGATCCTTGACTGCTCTGCCCAATGAACCCCAAGTAATATTAAGATGTTACTGATCACCCTAACATGCTGTAACCCCCAGCAATGGTCAACTTCAGGCCAGAAAGGAAGCTTTCCAACCACCTTCCCAACTTCCTCTTGTAAGCAGTATGTCTACTCATGTTCTCCTTGTTCAGATCAAGGTTAAGCATTCATGCAGTGAATCTTTTTGGGCTTAGCTTCTAACCTGATTATGAAAAACAATCTCACAGCACACTCCCTGATCCTCTGGATCTTAGAATCTTTCCACAATGTTCCCTGAGCCTTGGGTGCAGGAGTGTTTGTAGATGTGTCCATTGGAAACCGGATCCACCTCTATGCTTCCTGAGAGGCTACAACTTTTAAGATTCAAGGCATCTGTCACCCTCAAAGTTGCCAAGTAGGGATACAAACGTAGGATGACTACAAATCCAGGATTCTTTCCCCAACACTACTTATGCATTGTATCTCGAACTTGTGATTGATGTACTCCAAGTCTAAACTTTCTCCCATATTGACCTATTTCACATTTTTTTCTTATTCTATTTTTTTTTTTTTTTGGTTTTTTGAGACAGGATTTCTCTGTGTAGCTTTGGAGCCTATTCTGGTCTTATTCTACTTTTAAGGACATACTATAAGTCTTCTCCACTGGGTTATGAGAATGGGGAACTGTCCATATATTCCATTACAAATGTTCAAGACAACACATGATTCAGATAGCTTTTACTTTCTGGACACATCTGGTTATACCAGAAATCAGAACACTAGCTTCCTATGGGCCATAAAAAAAAGTCAACAGTCAATGAGGTGGCCTGGAAAGAGAAATTTCTTTTTAAAGTGTTGTTTTCAACTCAACAGTAATCAACCCAAACACAGATTTTTTTTTTTACCCTCAGAGATCTCAGAAGTCAACAATAACACACAAAGAGAGATGAAACATGAAAAGGAAGATAATTGCAATAACTATGGTTTCAGATTAGACAAGAATAGAAGTCAGCAACCACTGTGTGAGGAGATATGCCAGTGGAGTAGGCTACCAGAAATATTTTATGTGTTATTAAAGGTTTCTTTAAATACCCACTCTGGAAACATGTCATTGTATAATTATAGAGGTCAAATAATTCACTTTTTAAAGAACATCCCTCTACTACCTTGGAAGAGAGTTAGATAATTAGAGAATAGAAAACCATCTTCCATTAATTTCCAACTCAGAAAAAATAGGAGTCTCTCCAAAACCAGCATACGATCAAAGCTTGTCTGTACAAAAGCCTAACACTGCAAATACAGAGAGGAACTCAGTGTGATTGACTCATTACTGAATATTTCCATGACTTGTGAAAGAGAAGCATAAACAGGAGGAAGAGAGACTTCCTCAGTCTGGGCTGGTACACTTGAATTTATAAGGCCTTCATTGGTAACATATGTAAAACTTCCAAATAATGGTAAGAACTCATGTTAACATTATACATTTATCAGATGCTATTTACCATAAATCAGCGATTATTTAAATGATGAAGTGGGGGAGGCAGGAAAGGTGGCTGAGCAGTTAAAAATACTAGCAGCTCTGGAATAAGACGTGGGTTCAATTCCTAGCATCCATCTGGTTACAAGCACCTGTAACTGATTCCAGGGGATCTGATGTCCTCCTTGACACCACAAGCACTGGATACACATGATGCACAAGCAGACATGCAGGCAAAATACCCATATATATATATATATATATATATATATATATATATATATATA